ACGTGTTCCTTTCTCTCTAGTGTTTGCTCGTTATCCTTAAGAGGAGCTAATGGAATTTTGGGAAACTATAGCAATCATAGTTGATTTTTTTTGGGTAGATTATTCATGATTCATTTCCCATTGTAGTCTTAATCACTAGGTACTGTAATGAATCATATTAATGCACCTGTTACCAGTTCCTAATGATTAATACATTATATATATAGGTACTGACCCCTTCTACATAGTCACCTTGTAAGTGCTTACACCTGGAAGATCACTTAAATCAATACGTCTGTTAATTCTTCTGCTTTTCTTCCTACATTTTCGTCTTACATCCTATACTCTACAGCATGCACTCATTTAGATTTCTAAATTGCATGTATTGGGTCACAGTAATTCTGAAATTCAAATACATTTAAATTGAATAGATAACAGAATACATTACGGCTGTATCACTTAATTTATTTTTGTGAATACTTTAATTTCAACCCAATTTTGGGTCAAATATGGACTAACCCAACTGTTGGGTTAAATTTTTACATAAAATTTTATACTAACAAATTAAGAAAGACTGAATCGGCAGAGGTTCATGTTCACAATCAGTCCTTGTCGCCCTGTACTGAGTGTCCCTAGAGACAATATGTCAATACTATACTGTCTCGATATACTGCGCTATCTCTGTCTACTGGGCTGGGCTCATGGTTACTTTTTTTAGCATCTGCAATGCCCAAGGACAACACAACCTGTCAGACTGTTTCCAGTACTGCTGGCTTTTTTCCTCTCATTGAAACTTGCTGAGTAGCAAGGAACCAAATGTGAACATATGGAATAATGTGCCAGTCATTTGATTGTTAGTTCGTATGATGCATCAGCTAACATTTAACACTCTAGTCTAACTTTACACATATATTTTTCACAGCATCACTACTGCGCTTCCCAGTGCATGTTTTAAAGCTGAATCGTTGCAAGCGAACACATGGCACTCTCTAAATTTTTCAAAAAAGGTTCTACAAAAGATTTTGCCTGACTAACTTCATCCACACTCCCTAAAACCCTCCCTCCAGAGACATGTCAGTTGATGCAAGCAACCCCAAAAGCTCAAATTGGCAAGCAGAGGGGGTTTTGATCGGCTAAAGAACTACAGGCCTCCATCCTAACTATTTATTGCTGTTTACAGAGCCTAGGGCAGTCACTAAGACAGGTCTGATTTCTCAGGACACCTATTTGAGTTATATCTGTCAGGTAGAAGGGACAATTTATGCGTGGTATTCTAAATAAAACGCCTACAACGTATGTCTTTAATTGCCTTACAATAACTATCTGCCACCTCCAGAAATGTGAGCACTTGCATAATGCATAATAGAGCTTCTTTCATAAAGTGTAAATCACCTATGAAAATAAACAGAACCAGCAACTCTGATACAGATGCACAGCTTTTAATTAACATGATCTGATGAGTAATTTTTTGTGCCCTCAAAAAACTATATTACTGTCAAGAGCAATAAGTAATAGAAGACCTACAATACAATTAAAGGGCTTTCTCTGGCATGGTTAAATGTTGTTTTTAAATTACATCTTTATTTTTATACATTTTTTCATTTAATATATTTATAAATTATACAAATTATACATTATTAGTAAGGCAGCTCACAAGGTTTGAAACAGCTATATAAGAAGAGCTCAATGCTCTTTATTTAATGTGCGCTGGCTATATTAGCAGACACATCAGCGATTATGAAACGATCAGAAAGTTCCGGCATACAAGAGAAGGCTAATCTAGGGAGAGATAATCAAAGCTGGTTTCAGTCAGTGTATCACAGAGGAACATGGTGTCTCATTTTATTGAAGTCTATCCCAGGCCATTAATACTCTATTGAGACATGAGCTTGACTGAAACAGGAACAGACTGTAAGTGTGTGATAAACAGAGAAAGGTGTACGTGTGTGTTACACATTTTGTTACATTACTGAAATCTGTTATATACTTTAAAAAGTCTCCATTTGGTCTCATAATTGGAGAAATAAAGGAGATTAGAATTGTCAATTTATCATGCAATTAATTATTTTAAAAAATGCAATATAATAATGCACACATTTAATGATTCCCCAAACTTTATGGATATAGAAATAAACAATATTCTGATTCTTAAGTCCTTTTTTGTAAAGTATATTTAATGCTTGACTCATCTGACACCAAATATTAATATATCCAATATTATTTATGATTCATAGATTTTCCTAATTGGTTTATAATATGAATTCTTTAGCATCTACTGTTCAAGAAAACCCATTTCTTTTTCTATTGCACAGGAATTCCATTTGAATGAGCAGCAGGCTAATAAATCACAGGAATGGCAAATAGAAAGGGAGTGGGGTTTCAACAGTATCATTTTATTCTGTCCCTGCCACTTGGCTTGTCATGTTTATAGTGACAGGTAGCTCTCACCGTACATTATAGTCAGTGCAATCAATAGAAAAACGACCGTAAAACACACTACACAAGGCCTACTGAAGCACGGAGGGCATCTTTAGTGCAGACCCTTCTCTTGGTGTCAGAGATTGGATTGCTGCTGGAATGGATTTGACAGGGAAGCAAAGGCCAGGGGTACAAAGAAAATGGCACTCAAGGATGGGAAAGGTTTATCAAAACCAGCATGTGATTCTAAGGCAGATGCAAAAGTTAGAGCGAGTGAATGACCCTCAAAGTCTTTTGAACCAGACTCGCAAATGAAAGAAGGTCTTTATATTTTACAACTGCTAGACTTTGTACAGACCTTTCTCAGGAAACAGTGCCACTTGTGCCTACCGTTCAAAATTTTAGGGTCAGTAAGATTTTTATTTCTTAAAATATTAATGCTCTTATTCAAAAAAAGGATGCATTACATTAAGCAAATGTGACATTTTCCTTTTGCACTACACTATGTCAAAGCTATGAAATAATGTGACTACATTCAGTATACTGTAAGTTATATATTAAATATCAGCAAATATCACAGTTTCCTGTAAATGAGCCTTAGTTACGCTCGTGTAACCACTAATGTAGGCTCCATGTGGAAAATAACTGAGACTTATCTCGGAGATACATTAAAAAATAATGTGAATGCTGCGGTGCACCTCTCTTAGTTACCTTTTCCCTTGACCTAAGTGTAATCCTGAACACTATCTCTTTGTTGCACAGTGTCTTTAAACTTTAAACATTCAGGTCAAGAGTCAAATTACATGATTTGTTGTGCTGCTAGCTGTCTTTTGGGTGTGTACACACCAACTGCACGTCTTGTCAAGGGTTTAGTCTTTTTACATTAGGATGTGTTGCTGCTCTCCACTGAACTTTTCATCTTTAGCTTGTTGCGTTTTTGTTTTCGTACATGCCTTCACCACTGTCTGCTTTTCCACTGAGACGCGCGCACACACATACATGCATTCTTTTCTCTCGCATCCCTGCAATGTTAAAAAGCGTGTCGTCATTGTCACCATAGCAACTGTGTCTTGTGCGACGCTTGAACGCACAGCTGTCTCTGCCAGGATAAGCAGCGGCGTGTGTATGTGTTTACTTTGTATACCGCTTTTTTTGGGTTTGTGTTTGATTCTTTGTGTCAGTATCGTATGTGAAATGTATGAATAAGTTTGTGTGGTCGGGTGTGTCTAAGAGTGACAATTGAGTGATGCAAAACCTCGTGTTTGTGATAGATAAGTGTCTGATTTCTCATCATTTGATGTTCCTGAATGACACACAAATGAGAGATGAGATATATTGGGCAGAACTATTAGTATTGCTCATACTTGGGTTAGGGACCTAATTGTTAAAGGGAAGATGACGATTCTGTCATCGTTTACTCACCCTCAAGTCATTCCAGTCTTCCAGTGTTCAGTGGAACACAAAAGAAGATATACCTGAAGGATGCTGGCAACCAAACCAGTATATGGTTTGTATGATCAAAAAAATATATATATAATGAAAGTCAAAATTGTTTGGTTACCAAAATTCTTCAAAATGTATTAATTTTTGGGTGAACTATCCCTTTAAGTATTGCATTTCACTGTGTAAGTCATCCTGCACTGGTTTAGCTACAGACATGAATGATAATTCAAATAATGCAGCTTGCTGAAGAGAAGTGTGCTGTTACTTTTCAAAGCAATCAGACTTAGGATTTCGACCTTGTGCACATTAAAATAGACAAAAACATCTCATAGCCTCACACTGAAGGAGGAACCAAAGTCAAAAGTAGTGATCTGAACATCATAGAAACTTGTGGGTCATTAAACAGCCACCTTACAACCACCAGAACTCGCTAGAAACTGCATTGCAACAAAAAACACTCAGAACACCTTAGCAATGACCTGGAAACCACCTACAACATCTTGGCATCATGGAAATTACTTTTGCACAGGCAATATAAAAAAATGCTGAAATCTAATGTTTTTTTCTAATTGCCTACAATGAAATGCAACATAATTAAAACATAAAAATTGGAGCATTAAATATTCCCACATGCTGTCTGCTGGATTGTCGTCTGAGGAGTATGTGTGTGTGTGTTTCTGTGTATTCTAAGAGAGCACTCCTGTAGGATCCCAAAGCTGCCTGACTGTAGCTATTAATAACTATGTCAGGGGCTGGGCAGGTTTATATATAGACTTGGCGACTAGATTTTCCCTCTCATTGCAGACAAATGAATAATGAACGAAAAAAATAGGGCTCTGCCAAGGACCAGTCACTCAGGTCATCTAGCTGTGTGTATGTATGTGTGTGTGTGTGCACACACGAGGACACAGCTGTTGCCTATGTATCTCAAGGGCTTCACAGATACAGCCGAACCTTGTCTTCCAGCTCAGGTCAGAGCTGTTCCAAGAGACAAACAGAAAACAAGGACAAATTTTCAAGGGCAGTAACTTAAAACGGAACGATACATAAAGCATTTAGAAATTACTCGTTTTGCATTGATATTCATGAGAATGTGTGCATGTGTTTGTCATGCCAACGTTTGGTGGAAAATGTAGAAGACATGGTCTCTTCTGGTAACCATGGTGACAGTGTCACTTTCAGAGGGACGTGAAGGCATGTTCGGCAACACTATCAGAAGCTCATCTCTCCCCGCTCCCCTTACGTCAATCCACAACAACGGCAAGTCTGGGTCTGTCTGGATTCTCACTCTGTTGCATTTTTTAAATGATCGCTCACATTCACATAAATGATAATGAAGGAATGTAGCTAACTAGAAGCAAAGCCACGATGCTAGGTCATTGTAGGTGGTTGCAAAATCATTGCTATCTATATATAATCAACAGCCTTAAGTGGATAGTTTTATATTTCACCATTTTTAAATTAGATTGTAATTTGCAATGCTTCATGGGATTGTAATTGCTTCTTTTGTCTTTTTGTCAGATATTTAAGTCATTTTTACCTGATTTATCATCTGACTGATGAAAGCAGAAGTCTGATGGCCTGTAATATTAATATGATACCATTAAGTATGATTTGTGGTACCATTCATGTCCTTATATTGAGTTGCACACAAGTACTTAAGGTTAGGGGGTTGTTCACAGATAGTGATAATTGCCATACACTCAAAATCAACCATTGACGTCAATGGGATTGTGACGAGTGGGGGCGGGGCCGAGAGCCGTGGGAACGGAGCGAGGCCGGTGGAGTAATTGATAATGAGCGACACCTGCACCACTCACCGGTCTCGAGTCTCACGGAGGAGCTCCGGAAGGATAAAAGGGAGGAGTGACGACAGTGTCGGACGAGAGAGGACCAGGCCTGGATTTTATTTTGAAACAGGAACAGACTGTAAGTGTGTGATAAACAGAGAAAGGTGTACGTGTGTGTTACACATTTTGTTACATTACTGAAATCTGTTATATACTTTAAAAAGTCTCCATTTGGTCTCATAATTGGAGAAATAAAGGAGATTAGAATTGTCAATTTATCATGCAATTAATTATTTTAAAAAATGCAATATAATAATGCACACATTTAATGATTCCCCAAACTTTATGGATATAGAAATAAACAATATTCTGATTCTTAAGTCCTTTTTTGTAAAGTATATTTAATGCTTGACTCATCTGACACCAAATATTAATATATCCAATATTATTTATGATTCATAGATTTTCCTAATTGGTTTATAATATGAATTCTTTAGCATCTACTGTTCAAGAAAACCCATTTCTTTTTCTATTGCACAGGAATTCCATTTGAATGAGCAGCAGGCTAATAAATCACAGGAATGGCAAATAGAAAGGGAGTGGGGTTTCAACAGTATCATTTTATTCTGTCCCTGCCACTTGGCTTGTCATGTTTATAGTGACAGGTAGCTCTCACCGTACATTATAGTCAGTGCAATCAATAGAAAAACGACCGTAAAACACACTACACAAGGCCTACTGAAGCACGGAGGGCATCTTTAGTGCAGACCCTTCTCTTGGTGTCAGAGATTGGATTGCTGCTGGAATGGATTTGACAGGGAAGCAAAGGCCAGGGGTACAAAGAAAATGGCACTCAAGGATGGGAAAGGTTTATCAAAACCAGCATGTGATTCTAAGGCAGATGCAAAAGTTAGAGCGAGTGAATGACCCTCAAAGTCTTTTGAACCAGACTCGCAAATGAAAGAAGGTCTTTATATTTTACAACTGCTAGACTTTGTACAGACCTTTCTCAGGAAACAGTGCCACTTGTGCCTACCGTTCAAAATTTTAGGGTCAGTAAGATTTTTATTTCTTAAAATATTAATGCTCTTATTCAAAAAAAGGATGCATTACATTAAGCAAATGTGACATTTTCCTTTTGCACTACACTATGTCAAAGCTATGAAATAATGTGACTACATTCAGTATACTGTAAGTTATATATTAAATATCAGCAAATATCACAGTTTCCTGTAAATGAGCCTTAGTTACGCTCGTGTAACCACTAATGTAGGCTCCATGTGGAAAATAACTGAGACTTATCTCGGAGATACATTAAAAAATAATGTGAATGCTGCGGTGCACCTCTCTTAGTTACCTTTTCCCTTGACCTAAGTGTAATCCTGAACACTATCTCTTTGTTGCACAGTGTCTTTAAACTTTAAACATTCAGGTCAAGAGTCAAATTACATGATTTGTTGTGCTGCTAGCTGTCTTTTGGGTGTGTACACACCAACTGCACGTCTTGTCAAGGGTTTAGTCTTTTTACATTAGGATGTGTTGCTGCTCTCCACTGAACTTTTCATCTTTAGCTTGTTGCGTTTTTGTTTTCGTACATGCCTTCACCACTGTCTGCTTTTCCACTGAGACGCGCGCACACACATACATATTCTTTTCTCTCTCGCATCCCTGCAATGTTAAAAAGCGTGTCGTCATTGTCACCATAGCAACTGTGTCTTGTGCGACGCTTGAACGCACAGCTGTCTCTGCCAGGATAAGCAGCGGCGTGTGTATGTGTTTACTTTGTATACCGCTTTTTTTGGGTTTGTGTTTGATTCTTTGTGTCAGTATCGTATGTGAAATGTATGAATAAGTTTGTGTGGTCGGGTGTGTCTAAGAGTGACAATTGAGTGATGCAAAACCTCGTGTTTGTGATAGATAAGTGTCTGATTTCTCATCATTTGATGTTCCTGAATGACACACAAATGAGAGATGAGATATATTGGGCAGAACTATTAGTATTGCTCATACTTGGGTTAGGGACCTAATTGTTAAAGGGAAGATGACGATTCTGTCATCGTTTACTCACCCTCAAGTCATTCCAGTCTTCCAGTGTTCAGTGGAACACAAAAGAAGATATACCTGAAGGATGCTGGCAACCAAACCAGTATATGGTTTGTATGATCAAAAAAATATATATATAATGAAAGTCAAAATTGTTTGGTTACCAAAATTCTTCAAAATGTATTAATTTTTGGGTGAACTATCCCTTTAAGTATTGCATTTCACTGTGTAAGTCATCCTGCACTGGTTTAGCTACAGACATGAATGATAATTCAAATAATGCAGCTTGCTGAAGAGAAGTGTGCTGTTACTTTTCAAAGCAATCAGACTTAGGATTTCGACCTTGTGCACATTAAAATAGACAAAAACATCTCATAGCCTCACACTGAAGGAGGAACCAAAGTCAAAAGTAGTGATCTGAACATCATAGAAACTTGTGGGTCATTAAACAGCCACCTTACAACCACCAGAACTCGCTAGAAACTGCATTGCAACAAAAAACACTCAGAACACCTTAGCAATGACCTGGAAACCACCTACAACATCTTGGCATCATGGAAATTACTTTTGCACAGGCAATATAAAAAAATGCTGAAATCTAATGTTTTTTTCTAATTGCCTACAATGAAATGCAACATAATTAAAACATAAAAATTGGAGCATTAAATATTCCCACATGCTGTCTGCTGGATTGTCGTCTGAGGAGTATGTGTGTGTGTGTTTCTGTGTATTCTAAGAGAGCACTCCTGTAGGATCCCAAAGCTGCCTGACTGTAGCTATTAATAACTATGTCAGGGGCTGGGCAGGTTTATATATAGACTTGGCGACTAGATTTTCCCTCTCATTGCAGACAAATGAATAATGAACGAAAAAAATAGGGCTCTGCCAAGGACCAGTCGTTCAGGTCATCTAGCTCTGTGTCTGTATGCACACGCGAGGACACAGCTGTTGCTGATGTATCTCAAGGGCTTCACAGATACAGCCGAACCTTGTCTTCCAGCTCAGGTCAGAGCTGTTCCAAGAGACAAACAGAAAACAAGGACAAATTTTCAAGGGCAGTAACTTAAAACGGAACGATACATAAAGCATTTAGAAATTACTCGTTTTGCATTGATATTCATGAGAATGTGTGCGTGTGTTTGAGTGCTTTGTCATGCCATCGTTTGGTGGAAAATGTAGAAGACATGGTCTCTTCTGGTAACCATGGTGACAGTGTCACTTTCAGAGGGACATGAAGGCATGTTCGGCAACACTATCAGAAGCTCATCTCTCCCCGCTCCCCTTAAGTCAACCCACAACAATGGCAAGTCTGTGTGTGTCTGGATTCTCACATTGTTGCATTTTTTAAATGATTGTTCACATTCACATAAATGATAATGAAGGAATGGAACTAAATAGAAGCAAAACTCCTAGCCATGATGCTAGGTCATTGTAGGTGGTTGCAAAATCATTGCTATCTATATATAATCAACAGCCTTAAGTGGATAGTTTTATATTTCACCATTTTTAAATTAGATTGTAATTTGCAATGCTTCATGGGATTGTAATTGCTTCTTTTGTCTTTTTGTCAGATATTTAAGTCATTTTTACCTGATTTATCATCTGACTGATGAAAGCAGAAGTCTGATGGCCTGTAATATTAATATGATACCATTAAGTATGATTTGTGGTACCATTCATGTCCTTATATTGAGTTGCACACAAGTACTTAAGGTTAGGGGGTTGTTCACAGATAGTGATAATTGCCATACACTCAAAATCAACCATTGACGTCAATGGGATTGTGACGAGTGGGGGCGGGGCCGAGAGCCGTGGGAACGGAGCGAGGCCGGTGGAGTAATTGATAATGAGCGACACCTGCACCACTCACCGGTCTCGAGTCTCACGGAGGAGCTCCGGAAGGATAAAAGGGAGGAGTGACGACAGTGTCGGACGAGAGAGGACCAGGCCTGGATTTTATTTCGTGTTTTGTGTGCGGCAGTCGTCCGCGAGGGGCTGCCGCTTTACTTTCGTTTTGTGTTTGTTTTATTATTAAAGTTTGGTTTAAATGTTCGACGGTTCCCGCCTCCTTCTTCCCGATCTACAAACTACGTTACAGGGATATATTGTTATTGGAGCCATGGCCTAACATTTATCGCACATGCTCTGGCACATTGAGTAGTACAAGTTCAAATCTGGCTTGTGACATTTTCCAGTTCCGTTCCACATCATTTCCCATTCTAGTTCCAGTACTATACTAAAGGCCAAAAAAGAAAAAGAGAAACAGCACAGGTTGTTAAATCTGATTTGTACAGGACTGGCAGCTGTCATTTCCTTTCTTCAGACCGCTGTATGTTTGTTTGAGGCAACCAGTCTAGCATGGTGTTGATGCTGATGATAAGAGGGACAGAGACTTCTACACTTTTCAAGCAAACCTCTTCATGCGACTGCCTCCTACTAAGCTTGAAGAAGGTTGCCATGACAATGCTGCAGCAGCGGTTGAATGTCAGCGGTCAAGGTCAAAGAAGTTTTAATGTAAGAGTCACAGAAACGTCTGCACAATGAGTGCGTTATGCAGGCGTATATTTACAAATGGTGATAAATAATATATAGTGAGAAATTGGTATATGGTCTAGAAAAAACAAGTGTAGAATTTTCATCATTAATGGCTCTCAATTGTCAAGTAGGTAACCTTTAAGTAAAGAGGAACTAAATATTTTTTTGTACCTAGAGTACGTGGGTGTACAGAAATTCTCATCTAAAAAAAAATATATATATATATATACAGGTGCATCTCAATGAAATTAGAATGTCGTGGAAAAGTTATTTTAGTAATTCAACTCAAATTGTGAAACTCGTGTATTAAATAAATTCAATGCACACAGACTTCTGGCTTTTGACTGCAAAAATATGACAATGACGAGATCTTGTCTGAAACCTAAAGGAAACGTATGAGATAACTAGGGTCTTTCACAGGATTTAATATTATTGCTCTGTGGGAGAAAAACTGAGATAAAGACATTCCATTTGTCATTTCTCTTAAGGGAATTTTCATGTTGTTCTACTCTAATTGTTTGTCTTTTATAGAGACCAGAACTACAATGCTAACCACTTTGGACCAATAAAAAACTTTATAGCAACAGAATGTATACTAATGACATCACAAAAATCCAGCCAATATTATCACCTTTTATCAGAGTGAGGTTAAAACAGAAGGGGGATGGGAGCTCCAGTGTGACTTAGAGATTGTGGTTGCTGATACCGGTGTGTAAATAATGCTGTTGAAGCTCTGGCAAGCTTATAAATAAAAGGCTAATTTTTGCTGTTTATAGGTTATGGGCTGTTTTTAATCTTCTTACCGTTTTCAACTTACCCTCATGACTCACGTGACTGCAGGGTATCATCTCTTCTTAGACACATTAATACACACAGAAAAACACCTACAAATGCAATGAGTCACAAATGATTTTCCATACTATTCATATGAAGGCGAGTTATTTGATAATGCTGACAAAAAGAGAATAGCAGGCTTAAATAAGAAGATAGAGGAAAAAGTTAGAGATTCATAATTCTGTTATGTCTTAGCTTCACAACAACAGTGTGGCTGTAGGTGACCAATTTCTCCATCACAAATAGTGTGTATATGAGACAACATTTATGCAACATTTAAGCATACCTCATTGTAATACCCAAAACTGATTCACAACTTAGGAATCCTGAATCATGTTGCCACCACCATGCTTTGCTTTAAGTCCAAAAAAGTCACATGCAATCTTTCAATATAAAGTTTTAGTCACATTTCCTATAGTGAACTAAGTTACTCCAGGCTTTTACCAGAAGTGGCCTCCTTCTTTCCACTCCCTCAAAGAGTCTATGAAGAGATTTTTGAGAGTTTCTTTGTCCAGTTGTCTTTGTCCAGCAACTCGGTCACTGTTCGGGTCTTGTTCATTTCCCTGTCAATTGTCCTTCTTATTGAGTTATTTGGTAAGAAAGCCTCTTAGTTGGCTTGGTAGTGTTAGGATTTGCCATTTTGTTGTAATGGACTTTATGTTGTTCTGTGGGAGGTTTAGAGCTTTTACGTATTTTTTTCTAACTTTGTAGCTTTAGTTTTTTTTTCTTTCAGGAAAGTTCCACAGGGAGCTATTCTGTGTTTAGACAGCAAGACAGATCTGATGTTTTAGTTGAGAGACCTTACTCAAGTGTTCTTTGTTGTCTTGATCTCTAAAGATAATTAAATACAATTAACAGCTAAACAACTAAATTGGGTATTTATTAGCAAGTGATTTTATTTCTAGGAGTTTTAGTGTCGTTTTCTGTCACAATAATTAGACTTTGTGGATTTTTAAGAAGCATTTGTCTTACAAACTTCTTGTTTTGCTGGTTATTATTGCATGTTCCACAACATTTTGTATTTCTCAACAACACTCAGCCCTCTCAGCATTACTCATTCATTTACTACTTTATACTGCTTTCTTGACCTAACAACACAGGTAAAGCCATTATTATCCAATGTCTTGACATTCACTACTCAGCAGTGAGTATAAAGATTTAGATTTTATGTAGATGATTTGGCTGACAATGTAGTGGACATGGCTGTAGTTGTATTTGGACAGAGCTGTCTAAGCAGGTTTTCTGGTGTAAAGTCATGTTTCTACAAGGTTTTTAGCAAATTACAACAGTGGTATAATCTCCTTCTCACAGTCACAAATAAAAAAGTATTGTCAGTCACTATGATTTACCTAGACCTGACTCATAACAAGTGTTCTTTGTTGTCTTGATCTCTAAAGATATTCAAATACCCAATTTAGTTGTTTAGCTGTTAGTTGTATTTATTAGCAAGTGATTTTGTTACTAGGAGTTTTAGTGTAGTTTTCTGTCACAATAATTAGACTGTTGGGGATTTTTAAGAGGCATTTGTCTTACCAACTTCTTGTTTTACTGGTTATTGCATGACATGTTCCACAACATTTCTGTATTTCTCAATAACCCTCAAAGTGTTCTTTGTTGTCTTGATCTCTAAAGATATTCAAATACCCAATTTAGTTGTTTAGCTGTTAGTTGTATTTATTAGCAAGTGATTTTATTACTAGGAGTTTTAGTGTAGTTTTCTGTCACAATAATTAGACTTTGTTGGGGATTTTTAAGAGGCATTTGTCTTACCAACTTCTTGTTTTACTGGTTATTGCATGACATGTTCCACAACATTTCTGTATTTCTCAACAACCCTCAGCCCTCTCAGCATTACTCATTCATTTACTACTTTATACTGCTTTTTTGACCTAACAACACAGGTAAAGCCATTATTATGCAATGTCTTGACATTCACTACTCAGCAGTGAGTGTAAAGATTTAGATTTTATGTAGATGATTTGGCTGACAATGTAGTTGACAGGGCTGTCTAACCAGGTTTTCTGGTGTAAATCATGTTTCTACAAGGTTTTTAGCAAATTACAACAGTGGTATAATCTCCTGCTCACAGTCACAAATAAAAATGGATTGTCAGTCGCTATGATTTACCTAGACCTGACTCATCACTTTTTTCAAGCTCATTCTCTGTTGGCCTCAATTTAATTAATCCTGACTATGCACCTATAGTGAAAATTAAAGAAGAAACTCCTTAGTGGAAACTTTATATACAGTGCCACCGTGCATTTCATCAGACTTTTAGTGCAGCTGTCTTGGTTTAAGCACCAGTGTTGGATTTCTCTTATGGTTAGTAGATGAAAATTTCACAAAGTATGAATGATCTGTCAAGCCATCACTACAATGGCGTATTCAGTGTTCTTATGTACGGGGTCATGAGATACAAATGTTTTTTTACTATGAAGGTTTTTCTTGTTTTCTAATGGTGGATTTCTTGTTTGCTTTTTTGTTTTGCAGATCTTGGCCATCATTTCTATTCTATTCATCGTGCTCTCCACTATCGCTTTGTCTCTTAACACCCTCCCGGAGCTGCAAGACACAGACGAGTTTGGTCAGACAACTGATAATCCCCAGCTGGCCCATGTGGAGGCGGTGTGCATCGCTTGGTTCACCATGGAATATCTTCTTCGCTTCCTTTCCTCACCAAACAAATGGAAATTCTTTAAAGGTCCCCTCAATGTCATCGACCTGCTGGCCATCTTACCGTATTATGTCACCATATTCTTGACAGAGTCCAACAAGAGTGTGCTGCAATTTCAGAATGTACGGCGTGTGGTGCAAATCTTTCGAATCATGCGGATTTTGCGCATCCTCAAGTTGGCACGTCACTCCACTGGGTTGCAGTCTCTGGGCTTCACGCTACGACGGAGTTACAATGAGCTGGGCCTGCTTATCCTCTTCTTAGCAATGGGGATCATGATCTTTTCGAGTCTAGTTTTCTTTGCAGAGAAGGACGAGGATGACACCAAGTTCAAGAGCATCCCTGCCTCCTTCTGGTGGGCCACTATTACCATGACCACTGTAGGATATGGGGACATTTACCCCAAGACGCTTCTGGGTAAGATCATTGGTGGTCTCTGCTGCATAGCAGGAGTGTTAGTTATTGCCCTACCCATTCCCATCATCGTCAACAACTTCTCTGAATTCTACAAGGAGCAGAAACGCCAAGAGAAGGCCATAAAGAGACGTGAGGCTCTAGAGCGAGCCAAACGCAATGGCAGCATAGTGTCCATGAATGTAAGAGAGGCGTTTTCCCGTGGTGCAGAGCTTCTAGATGTGGGGGTCATGGACAAGGGTGAGAGAACCCAGGACAACCATCTCTCACCCAGTCGATGGAAATGGTCATCCAAGCGGGCAGCTTCAGAAACCAGTTCTAATCGTTCCTTCAACCCAGACCAAGGTTCTCCTAGCAAGGCGAGAGCTTCTAGTCCACAAAGGCTTAATGCACAGAAACTAGAAGAGATGTACGACCAGATGGCAAAGACTCAGTCACAGCCCAACCTGAACAGCAAAGACAGAAATTCATCCAGAGCAGGCCATAGAAGGGATGAAATTGAGCTGGGAGCCTTGCCAGGTCAAGGAGTTGACCCACTGATTGGGGGTCGTGAAGGGGTGGTAGACATGAAAAGTTTGTCAAGTATTGACAGTTATATCAGCTGTGCAACAGACTTCCAAGAGAACCCACGATTCCCCTACAGTCCGGCAGGAGGTCTATCCCTCCCAGAAAGCTCTCGGTTCTCCCACAGCCCAGTTTCTGGCCTCTCTGGTCGGGTCAGTGCTAATCCAAGCCTGCAGACCACCTTGGAGCATGAGACTATGCTCACGCTACTATGTTCTGGTGCTAAACCTCTCAACAGCGAGAGTTCACGGCAACAAGGACTTCTTGGAAACTCTCAGAAAATGCATTCGGTTAGGGTGAATCATCGCAATTGTGGGGAGGCCAGCCCATCAGGTGGTCTTCTGTCTGACAGCTCTATTCTATCTGACCACTCCATCCTAAGCCCCGAGGTGTCAGTCTACACAACAGCCAGCAGCAGGACTCCACCTAAGACACCAGAGAGGAAGGCACTCACCCCTGCAGTCTTCACTTTTCACGACTCATCTATCAGCAAGTACATCGATGCTGACACAGATGATGAGGAGCTCTTGCGCGAAGGTGGCCCATCGGAGCGTCTACTGGGTGGCCTGAGCTCTAAGCCTCGGCTCAGTGGTTACCAGGGGGCAACCAACCACTTGGAAGCTGCCCAAAGGCTGCTAGGTCAGAACTGCCTATTCCCACTGGGAAGTAGCCCAAGTGTTGGCCATGAGAACCATGTGGCTTTAGAGAACTCACGAAGGCCTAAAGGGGACAGGGGACATTCCAACACTTTTGATAAGGGCCTCTGAGGCCTCAGGGTCGTGAGTTGGACTCCAGAGGAAAGAAGGCCAAGTTCAGTCAAGGACTTTGAAGAAAGCAAAGACTAATGTACAATGAAGAATCATTTTATAGGCTCCTAACCAGGGGGCCTACCCTGGTGACTTTATATGGGAAGGTTCACTGGAAAACAGTAGTCATATTACATCTTTAAGGAACAGGATCTTGAGGATGTACCACTGCCTACACCTCTTGCCCTTTTTCCTCTTCTGTTAACAAGTCTGCATTGGTGCGTTGCAGGGGTAAGTTAAGCCAGAGCAGATCTGGTCTACAGTTGATTGTAAAATATAACAGAATTTATGCTAAAGCATAAATAGCTTGAGGCTGAAAACTTACCAGATATTTAAGCGCAGATGTGTTTGGTAAATCAAGGGGGACAGTCCGCCACTGCCCACATCAGCTAGTCACTGTCCAGAGCCCACCTCTTAAAGATTAGCATTAGAGACATGTTATACCCTGTTTACTAGTGCACCCATCCCCTGTTCCCTAATAAACTGGCCTTACTTAACTGCAGTTATGGGTCTGCATACAGTATGAGTGTTTATGTGCAAGCATATTTGAAATAGGGAGGGCTGATGGTATGATAATGTGCATGTATAAAACAATTAACATTCTTGCACACAAGCTCACTCTTCAAAATATATTGGTGTGTGATTCTACTTGATTGATTTATTTTTATATAGACATGAAGATTATCTGTAGAATTCTGTCACACATATTTCTTGTGTCATATTCACCAGTATAAGAATAAACCGTTAATTGTTTCATCAGAAGAGACCAAAATCTGTTTAAATTTACCTCCCCTCATTTACTTGTGTCATCTTTAAGATTTACTTTCTAGTTTGGTAGAATTTAAAGGGATAGTTCACCAAAAAAAAGAAGAAGAAAAAGAAAATTCTGTCATTGTTTACTTTGTCTCATTTCATTCCGGTGTGCTATTTTTATTCTGTGTAACACAAAAAAGGATATTTTGAGATATATATGTTGTTTTGACCCAAATATTCTTCAAAATATCGTCTTTTGTGTGCTGTAGAATAAAGAAATGCATACAGGTCTGGAACAATAAGAGGGTGAGTAAATTACAGAATTTTATTTTTGGGGTTAACTATCCTTTTAAAGTTCAAAAAGTGTTATTAAAGAAAATGACAGAAGATGCACTTCATGCTGTGCTTTCATATGTAATATTTTCTTGCAAAATATGTTTATGATTGCATTTTTTTTTTTTATTATGTAAAAAATTACATAGCACATGCGTATTGACAGCCCAAACAGAAGCAACAATGAGAACGAATGGACAACACATACCTCGCCATGTTGTTACCAGATATTGGTATATGATGGAAGGCTAGAATAAATCTGACCAAGATAGAAACAGAAAAACTTCAGGTCAATTTAACATATATTTCTGAATATAAGAATATATATTTCTAAAATATTTTCTAGATGATCATACAAAGTGAGGGAGATGGTCTCATACTTTTGCATTGCCAGGGAGAATGTTTATTTTAAAATATTTGATTTAATTAAAGGTTTTATGGGGCCTTGTGTCCTTAATTGTTATTCAGGCTCAACACACACTATGTGACCAAGAAGACCACCAGTTAATCCCAAACATTTATCCTTTTTGATAGAGAGCTCTGTAATACAGTACATAATGCATGGCCATGTTTACCTCCAAATTTGATACAATCCTTTCACACTGCACAAACTTAATATCCTTGAAAGATTAGATCCTTATCTCCAACATTGCCATCCTCAACATTCTGTAACCACACGCATACACATAGTCCAGCATGTATTCACAGGTATGTAGACAATGTCCTGAAGACGACTATATCCAGTTTCCATGGTGACCACAAGCCCTCCCTGCTAGTGCTCATATCCAATTTGAAAACCAGGATAGTGAGGGCTAAATTAGATCAAAATCATGCACTCAATTGCATCGGTCAACAAATACCATCACTAAAAGTCACATTGTCAGAATGTACGTGTCTCTTAGAATATGTATATGTGTGCATATGTTATCTGGGGAGTGTGAAAATGATGGGGGGAAACTTCTGAGTGTGTGTACGCTTCCATCCTTGTCTCAACGATTTTAGCTGAAGTTGAACTGAGGTGTGAACGAAATACCAATTTTCTGCAAGAAAAGCGGGAGGAGGGTGTGTATGGGAGGAAGATGAAAAAATGAGAGGGATCTTAACTCTCCCCTCAATAAATAATAATTTATGAATGTGTACTGCTTACTGTAATGGTGGGAAAGGAAGCTGCTTTCTGAGTGCTAAAGTCCCTTGCTCTACTTGTGGTATTATATAATATCCATGATCTGTCGGGTGTATGGTCCACATTTAATGCTCTATTCATTCAGTAGATTCATATGGAGAGAACATTAGTGCTAAAATGTGACTTTACTAAAGCCATTCAAAACTCTCTTTCCTTTATTTATATATATATATATATATATATGCATACAGTGATGGTCAAAAATATTAGCACCCCTGCATTTCTGTCAGATAATGCACTACTTCTCCCAGAAAATTGTTGTAATTACAAATGCTTTGGTAGTCTCATGTGTATTTCTTTTGTTTGTATTGGAACAACACAAAAAAGCAGAGAGAAAAAAGGCAAATCTGAGACATTCTACACAGAACTCTAAAAATAGACTGGACAAAATTATTGACACCCTCAACTTAATATTTGGTAGCACACCCTTTGGAAAAAATGACTGAAATCAATCGCTTCCTGTAACCACCAGTGAGTTTCTTACAGCTCTCTACTGGAATTTTGGAACACTCTTCTTTTGCCAACTGCTCCAGGTCTTTCAGATTTGAAGAGCTTCTTCTCCCAACTGCTGTTTTGAGATCTCTCCACAGGTGCTCTATGGGATTTAGATCTGCACTCATTGCTGGCAACTTCAGAACTCTCCAGTGCTTTGTCTTAAACCATTTTTGGGTGCTTTTTGAAACATGCTTTGGGTCACTGTCCTGCTGTAAGACCCATGACCTCTGACGGAGACCCAGCTTTCTGACAATGGGCCCTACATTGTGCCCCAGAATTCTTTGGTAGTCTTCAGATTTCATAATGCCATGCACACAGTCAAGACATCCAGTGTCTAAGGCAGCAACCCCAAAATATCAGTGAACCTACACCATGTTTGACTGTAGGGACAGTGTTCTTTTCTTTGAAGGCCTCATTTCATTTTCTGAAGACAGTAGAATGATGTGCTTTACCAAAAAGCTCTATTTTAGTCTCATCTGTCCACAGGACATTCTCTCAGAAGGATTTTGGCTTCCTCAGGTATGTTTTGGCAAACTCCAATCTGGCTTTTTTTATGTTTCTGTGTCAGCAGCGCGATCCTTCTGGGTCTCCTACCATAGCGTCCCTTTTCATTCAGATGGCTACGGATAGTGTGAGATGTCACTGTTGTACCTTGTGCCTGCAGGTCAGCTTGAATTTGTTTGGAAGTTGACCGAGGTTCTTTATTCACTTTATTTTATTTAAACACTTTATTTGAACAATCCAAGTGCCATGGGCTTTAAACTTCTTGACAATGTTGTGCACTGTGGACACAGGAACATTAAGATGTCTGGAGATGGACTTGAGACTGTCAATCACTGTTCCACAATTTTGGTTCTCGAATCCTCAGACAATTCTTCACTCATCTTTCTTTTCTTCATGCTCAGTGTGTTACACATAAACACACAACACAAAGGTTGAGTCAACTTTTCCGCATTTTAATTGGTTGAAAATGTGATTTCTATATTGCCAGCACCTGTGAATTGCTACAGGTGAGTTTAATTACAAATTAAAGGAGCATCACATGCTTGAAATACAATTATTTCTGAAGATTCTGAAAAGGTGCCAATAATTTTGTCCAGTCCTTTTTTGGAGTTCTGTGTAAAAAAAAAAAGATCTGCTTTTTTTGTGTCGTTCCAATACAAACAAAAGAAATAAACACAAGAACACCAAAGCATTTGGTAATTGCAACAATTTTCTGGCAGAAATAGTGCACTATCTGACAGAAATGCAGGGGTGACAATATTTTTGTCCATGACTGAATATATACAATTAATTTGCGATAAAAAAGTCACAATTTAAACAAACAAACAAAAAAAAACATGTTTTCGCCCTACAAACATACCAATACCATACTAAAAATTAAGGGAAAAATAGATAATAGATCAATCTGGGGGTATAAAAATCGGGGGGAAAATTGAAAAATGTTTCAATGCAAAAAATCTTCTGGTTCATAATACTGGTTTCATATTTTGTATGCTATATGTAATATATTTTTTTCTATTCATTTCCTGTTGAAATACAACCCAGACATGTCCATGACAGGTTTTGTGTGATTCACCCCCATATAGTCATTGTTAATTGCTCAATCAGAGATGTCAGAGATTAGCATATGTTGTGTTTTTGCTGATGTATATTCTGCAGATATCATTCTGTAAAGTCCCACAGGAACACTTGCAGTGCAGTGTGCACAGAGCATTTACAAAGATTAGAGCAAATTATATATGGTTGATTATTTTGGGGATATTTTTTTTGACACCAGTCTACAAACAGATGACAATCAGTAATTTTAGTCCAATGTCAGTGTCTTATTGGATGGTTTGATGGCATTAAAGGTGTTTTGTCTAAAATACCCACCCACACAACAGTGCAGGTTGCAATTCATCATGGTACATTTATAAAATCCTTCAAATTAAGTGGTATTAAAATTTCCTCACGAACGTGTCAAACTGTGTTGACCTGATGATGCTTCCAGCATCAACATGGACGCTGTTTAAAAATTAAATGTGACTTTTGTTATTTTTGGTTAACAGTAACATATGTTAGATAATCGGCACTTTGACTTTTAATTCAGTTTATTATTAATGAGAGGGTTTGTGAAGATTTATGTAACTAATTTCAACAAGAAAGCACAAATAAGATTTATTTGATTTTTCTAGTTTTCTTATGAAATTGTACATTAACAATGGTAACTAGAAGAAATTTAGGATGTATTTCATGATTAAAAGATATTACCGTAAACATATAGAATTTCCAGGGAACTAAAAAAAAGAGAGCACTGTTTACAATCCCTCCCTTTCCCAAAATCTTCTACAATGTTGTTTGTAGGTCTAAAGGCTGTTTGTTTTGTAATCTTTCTACCTGTTGACTTTCTATGCCATTGTTTCTGTATGTGTGTTATGTTGTTTAATGCATGTCGTACCTCTAAAGCTGCAACTTGTTCTGTATGTAACAAAAAGCCAATTCCTTGTCTTGTATAGGAAAAAGAGCCAAAAATGTGTCAAAATGTCCTGAAATCTTTTGATTTCTTTGCAGTATGAAGAAGAGATATCCCCCTCCCCCCTTGGTTGGCTGGAAATCAAATAAATGATACAGATTATTAATTTTACCTATTATTCTGTGTTGTCATTAGAGTTTATACACATGAAAACCTAACTCACACTTAAAAGTCATTTGTTCTAAAGAAAATAAAAAGCAACCTAATATTTTCTGCTATATAAAGTGATGCCATGAAATTCCTTCCTTTTTATTTAAACACTGGATAATTACTGCTTAATATTCATTATTGCTGCTGAAAGGAATAATTCATCCAAAAATGAACTGATGAGAATACATTTGGAGAAGTTTAGCATTACATGACTTGCTCACCAATGGATCCTCTGCAGTGAATGGGTGCCGTCAGAATGAGAACATCACAATAATGTTTGTTTAGAACCTTTTTTTCTCTTCACAAGATGCTAACTGATGGACTGGAGTCATGTGGATTTCTTGTGGACTATTGTGATGTTTTTATCAGCTGTTTGGACTCTCATTCTGACGGCACCCATTCACTTCAGAGGATCCATTGGTGAGCAAGTGATGTAATGCTAATTTTCTCCAAATCTGATGAAGAAACAAACCCATCTACATCTTGGGTGGCCTAGGGGTGAGTAAATTGTCAGAAAATGTTAATTTTGGGATGAACTATTCCTTTAATCATAATATGATGGCCATTAGCATTAGTCTTTTATGAATAAATGGGAATTAACTGTGACTAATATTGAATTTTGTCTTGATAATGTACTGTAATAAGGTATCAACTGAATCATTTGGCATACAAGCCTAGAGCTGATTTGAGTTACCAAAATAGTTTCTGCACATTCTACTGTCACTACTTTAAGTGTGAAATTTCATGACCCCGTTAAGCCTGATTGAAGTGTGCAAGTTAGATGAAGAGAAAACTGTGTACAGTAGGACAGGAACAGGAGTCTCGTCGACGGACCCGTCTCCACAACCCTCTGCACCGAGAATTCCCCACGGCCTGCCACTGCAGAGACATGCTCCTAAGAGTGAGAGAGTGAGAATGTGATGGAAAAAGATGATAGAGGAAGGCAGATCGAGTGATGGGTATCGCTCTGGCTGTTGTCCTTGAGCTAGGTTAAGAGTTTCAACCCTATATTATGAATAATACAAGCATTAATACAGGCAGTCGTAGCCTAATGGTTAGAGAGTCTGATTTGTACCCAAAGGTCGTGGGCTCAAGTATCGGTACTGGTAGAGATTGTAGGTGGGGGGAGTGAATGACCAGCGCTCTCTTCCACCCTCAATACCACGACTGAGGTAAGACCCTTGAGCAAGGCACCGAACCCCTAACTGCTCCCTGGGCACCAAAAAAAAAAAGGCTGCCCAATGCTCTGTGTGTGTGTGTGTGTGTGTTCACTACTCACTGCTGTGTGTGTGCACTTGGATGAGTGAAATGCAGAGCACAAATTCCGAGTATGAAACACCATACTTGGCTACGGCTCATTTTATGTGTTGGTTAATATAAAATATCATTATAGTATTACTAAAAATTTAATTTAACCTAGATAAAACAGGCAATTGCTCTCTTTTTACTAAAAAACATAACAAGGCTCTAGAGTGCTCCAAATGAGTGCAGAAGTCTTAAAGCAGTACAAGATGTTTTATACACAAGCTTTTGAATATTTAAAGATGTGTCATGGTTCCCTCTAGTGGCCAAGATCTAGTCTCGAGACCTTAAATTACTTGGAAAAACCTGGCCTACTTCACTTCAGGAGACCATATATCTTAAAAGATTTTTAGACTTGTCACGATATTTTGTAATGGCTTGTCCTAGTATTTTTTTTAGCTTGTAATGAATCACATAATGATTTACAGCTCGATTTACAGCTGAAGTACCTAATAATAAATCTACAGCTTGTCAACTACAGTTCAAATATGTAGAGTCAGTGAAGTGACACTAGTAGTAAGAAATGTTTCTTAAAGCACCAAATCAGCATATTAGAATGATTCTGAAGGATCATGTGACACTGAAGGCTGTTTGAAAATCACAGGAATAAATTACATTTCTAGATATATTCAAAAAAGAAAACAGCTATTTTTTAAATATAATAATATTTCACAATATTACTGGTTTAACTGTATTTTGATCAAATAAATGCAGCCTTGGCGAGCATAAAATACTTATTTTAAATACATTTTAAAAAATCTTACCAACCCCAAACGTTTGAAGAGTAGTGTATATTAATACAAAAATCATGTGTGTTTTTTGAGCTGTAAAGTTGTCTAAATCCTCAGATTGGGGTGGGATTAACTTCTGGTATTTCCTGTGAGTGTTTTTTGCTCCATGACATGATGAATTTTATCACACTAGTCTCATGTGAACATGTATAATGTTTAAGCCGTGTGGCTATACTATTGAAACAACTATTTAAAGGGGCCCTATTATGCTCTTTTACAAAGTCTTGATTTTGTTTTGGGGTGTACTAGAACAGGCTCTCATACTAGGTTGTTCGAAAAACACATTATTTTTCACATATTTTACATGATTACAACACCTCTCTCCTCAGTCTGGCATGAACGGCTCGAATAGTTCCTGTATCAAATGAAGGCCATTCTAATGATTGTTGTTTGTTTTTTGTAAACTGAGAGGAGTGTCTAAATTATTGCACTTAATTTGTATTGAACCTAGATAAAAAAAACAAATAAAAAATAAACATTTATCTGGAAAGGTTTCTCTGCACTTACCTATCCTGTCCCATGTTCTCTCCATCCCCGGAGCAGTAGCGTTGGCCCTGGGCCAGTGCTGGTGGCTGGCACTCCACACACACCTGATGCCCTTCCTTCAGGTACCGCATCCAGCGAGTGTGCAGACTGAAACTGCGTTGACAATCCGCCGTCAGGGACGTGAGTTTGAACTCCACACAGTAACTGAGGTGTGCACATACAGACACAAATAAATAGACAATAAATTACACATGCACTACTGTATAAACATTTGGGGTAATTATGATAGATTTTATTAAATTTATACTTTCGTTTAGCAAGGATGCATTAAAATGATCAAAAATCATATTTAAAGACTTGCAAGGTTTGCAAATATAAACAAATTATATTTCAAATAAATGTTGTTGTTCTGAACTTTATATTCTTCAAAGAATTCTGAAAATAAATATTTCATGGTGTCCACAACAGTATTAAGCAAAGCAACTGCTTTCAATGTTTATAATGATAACATATGTTTCTTGAGCAGCGAATCAGCATATTAAAATGATTTCTGAAGGATCGAGTGACACTGAAGACTGGAGTAATGATGCTGAAAATTCAGCTTTGCATCACAGGAATAAATTACATTTTAAAATATATTAAAATCGAAAACAGTTATTTAAAATTTTAATAATGTTTCACAATATTAATACTTTTAGTTTTTAGCTGTGATTTGTGAGATCTTTCATATGTAAAAAAAAAAGATAGTAAACGAAAAAGATTTTTGTTACATTTTAGTGTTGGATTGTCACATCTTACCCTGTGATGTTGTCCAAAATCTCCCTCTTTTTCCTTGCACTTCCATAGCCACCCGTGGTGATGAGAGCTGGGACTGTAAAATAATAAAACAGAGGAGTAAGTCAAAGATTATGGAAAAGAGATTTTAATGCATATGTGCCCCCATACTTCACCTGCAGCCTCATAAGCAGGTTCAACTCATTTTCAAAAGCACATGGTTGCTAAGGATAACAGGCGACATTTAGATTGCTGCTTTAGTGCCTAGAGAATATGCACTGACGAAGATGATTACAGTTCATCGTTTGATTACAGTCAGAACCAGTCTATGTACTGATAATGTGATTATATAAGATAAATATTCACTCAGATAAATGGGTTGTAATGTGTACTGGAGTTCATCCAAGAGTAACAATTCAATGGAAAAATAATGGTTGTATAAATCATTTTAAATACATTTATGTGACTACCAGATGCTTTTATTATGGCTATGAGGGTTGACCTCAGACCTACTGAGATACTATCCATTGCTGATTATGAAATGTGACATTTGTGTTAATGGATGGCAAATGGCTTTGCTTAAGGACATCACGTAGAGCTTTAGATTGCTATACCTAGAAATTGTAGGCAGGGACCATGCTGGTCGTGATACTCCGCGCAGCCTGCGGTCTGATGTAGAGAGGGACAGGGTTCGCCTCTATTACGTGCTTCCTGAATCACCTGTCTCTGCCTGGTGTGCATTGTGGGTTTACACGGCTCCAGACAGTCCAGACAGCTGCTCCATTCGCTCACCACACAGGATACGGCTAAAACACACACACACACATAGTATGTGGAGTATGTGGCAATGATAGCCACAAATATGAGAAGCAGCAGCAACAGAAATAAAGGGTTTGTCTCATAAATTTTATTTTCACTTCACTCAATTTTTAATTTTTACTTCACTCCAGTCTAGTTTTTCTTGCAGCAAAAAAAGTTTTTCGTGACTTTTCTCCACCCTCCCTCTGAACTTTTAAACTACACAGTCTTTTTTGTTGTTGTTGTTGTTGTTGTGCCTTTAAGGCTTCTTTGCATGTGAAATGAGGTTTAGTGTCTCCAGTGTAGTTTTTAACTGAACCATTACACATTACACTGTGACAGGATCACAGAACAATCTGCACTAAAAAGATGTTTGAAAGCTTTGTCCTCCAGTGTGATAAATAATAAAAAAGCAGACACATTTGTAAAGTAGCACAGTGAGAAGTTTTCAAAGACCAGATACGTTGTTTTGTATGGATGCATGCAACAGTTTATTGCTTGCAACACATTTTACATTCTGAACTAAACGTATATCTTTGCTGACAATTAAGATTTATTTAAACATTAATTACTCACAAGATTAATTTGTAGCATAAAGTAAAATGGTGAAACAAGAGAAATAATAAACAGCTGCAGCACCTAAAATATATACTTTTCCAAATGCATTCATATAATTTTTTTTTAAAATAATACTCTTATTCAACAAGGATGCATTTAACTGATTAAAAATGTATTTATAATACATTTACAATGTTACAAAATAATATATTTCAAATAAATGCTGTTTTTTTTTCTATGTATCATGGTTGCCACATAAAATATTAAGCAGCAGCAAATCAGTATATAATGATTTCTGAAAGATCATGTGACACTGAA